GCGCGCCGCATCACATTCCATCTGCTGGAACTGTGTATTTAAAATTTCCAGCAGCCTTACTGCCGTCATCATGTTACCCCTTATATCCTGCCTACAAGCAAAAAAAAATAGTATAAGAATAAGAATAGTATAAGATGAAGATTAAATCTTTCATATGTAATAACAGACAGTAATACTTACATCGATGCTAGTATCACCCCGTTTCCATTTCCGTGTACATCGTAATGTACTTGGAAAGAGTACAGCACGTGTTGCTGCTGCACAAGCCTCGTCGCCTCTTCGAATTGGTGGATCGCACCGTGCAGGACGGCGATCCGGTCCGTCAGGGCCCTCATCAACTGCTCGATCTCATGTATTTCCAAACTGTATAATGCAGCCATTGCTAACGTAACACTTCCGTTAAATATCTTGCGTGAACTTGTGACCGTCCCAGCCTCCGACGCATTTTTATAGTACATCCCTTAGATGTGGTGCAAATCTATGTGACCGCTCTACGGGGGTTATCTTTTCAAACATACTCCAAATTTATAATTGTGAAACATAATTCTTCTCCCGAGTAACCGAATATCGGTCGATAGATGTTTGATAGATTTAGTATAAACTACTGCGGGATAAACAAATCTCATAAGAGATATCATAGCGACTTCATATAATGAGTTTGACACCCATGAAATTCTTCTTTCACAAGGTTGTTTTACACTCATGAAAAGTAAAAGTTAAAAGATGTATGATAAAGACGTTAAAAGACGTTGCATAGATGTTAAATTAATGTATAATATATGTTTAAAAATTGTTTCAACTGAGCCTCTAACGCCTTTCACGATTACGAGGGGGGACGGGAGGTGCTTGAGTCCGCCTTAGACGAGGCTCGACCACAGCTATCGGCTTGTGGTACACTCCGCAATCCTTACACTTCTTGTATTCGGAATTTTTTCTATTCTGATCACGCTCCATTTTCTATACTATTTTTCTCTACCGCGTGCACACTTTGAACTGATAAATTACTCTCTTCCGCACACCTTATATACAACTCGACGCAAAAACGTCAATTTCGCTGTAGTAATAAACGTTAAAATACGTTCGAGAGATGTTAAAAGTGGTTCAAGTAATGTTGAAAAGATGTACAAAAGATGTACGTAAGATGTTCAACAATACGTTAAAAGACGTTCGATTGACGTTCAAAAACGTACAATAAACGTTCAAAGACGTACAGTAGACGTTCGATAGACGTACGAGAGTACG